TGATTTTTGAGAAAATAGTCTTAAATATATTTTGTTAATTAAAATTTAGTTTCCAATTTAATTTGATTTTATTTTTTTAATCGTTGTTTTTATGTATCAAGTGTACAACTTTGCTTCCGCCATTTTCCGATAGGTGGCCGTACCGGCTGAGGCTGGTTGAAATACATATAAGATAATGCCTTTAAAGTGAGTGTCATCGCCGTTTCAGTGACAGTTGTTCTTGTTTTCGTACTATTCACGCTCGAAAATGTCCGTTTATGTGCCTAATTCTCGCCATTTGCGGGAAGTTTTACTTTTCTGTTACAATTCGAAAAGAATGCAGCTGAAGCGCATCGAATGCTCTCAGAAACTTACAGTGATGCTGCTCTGAGTGAAAGAACCTGTCGGGAGTGGTTTCAAAATAATTAAAAATTGTGATTTCGATATCGAAGACAAACAAGGTAATGATTTGTATTTGGTGGAATCAGCTCGGTGTGATTTACTACGAGCTCTTAAAACCAGGTGAAACCATCACAGGAGATCGCTACCGAACGCAACTGATGCGACTTAGTCGCGCGCTAAGAGAAAAGCGGTCACAATATCAAGAACGACATGACAAAGCCATCCCTCCAACACGACAATGCTCGGCTTCACGTCGCAAAAGTGGTCAAAAAGTACCTGGAAACGCTGAAATGGGAAGTCTTGCCCCACCCGCCGTATTCCCCAGATATCGCCCCTTCTGACTTCCACCTATTACGTTCGATGGCACACGGACTGGCATTTCAATCCTTCGAGAATTGGAAAAACATTTTCAATCCTTCGAGAATTGGAAAAATCGATTACTTCATGGATAGCGTCAAAAGGGGACACCATTTTTCGAGCCGGGATCCGAAAATTGCCGGAAAGATGGAGAAAGTTGTCGCTAGCGAAGGACAATACTTTGAATAATATATCTGTGAGCACTTTTTCGCAATAAAGCTTTTGATTTTGGAAAAAAAAACGGCGGAAGCAAAGTTGTACACCTGATATCAGGCTCATAAAACCAGATTATTTCACTTTTCTACCACACGTTTCACTAAATAATGTAGAGTTTCAAGGTCTTCTAATTTTTGTGTACAGAAATTGTTTTAAACATTATTCTAATTATTTAAAAAAATTATATTTTTTGAAAGGCAATTTATATACTTTTATTAAGAAAAAATATTTTTCCATTAATTTTTTTGTTAATTTTAGAAAATCATTTTATGAGTTTACTTAAAAACAATTTGCTTTACTACAAGAAATTTACTGTATCTGCTTCATATTTTTGATATTTTTTCAAAAAATTACGTAATCGTCGTTAATACTTTCAGTTCATAAATATTGTGAAATTTAAATTTCTTTGATTTATTTTCAAGCCTTCTAAGGCACACCATGCGCTACCATTTCCAGACAAAAAGTGTGTAAACAACCTGCAAATATTCTTTTATTTCTTCGCACACATTTGCTTGTGGGCGAGCCGGGCCATTCAACCTAACCACAAATATTCACTCTACCATGAAAATTTAACGCACACAAAAAAGATAATTATTTACTATTTCATTGCTAACTAACTACAATTCTTATATCTTTTTCACTCTTGTTGTTGCACTTCAAATTTTTTATTACAAAATTTATTCAATTTTCCCACCAGCAAAAAAAAAGAAACAAAAACAAACACGGCGGCATGTTGTAATATTATACATACAACACGAGTATTTTTTTTTTGTGCGAATTGTAGTGGAAAAATATTTGTGCTCTAAGCCACGAAAACAAATTAATTCATACATATATCTGTTACACAATTAATGAATTTATTTATTTATATTTTTTCTTTTGCTTTATTTATTTCAATTTTTTTAGTAATTCTAATGCTAACTATTAACAAGCTAATTTTCGCTTCCGTTTACCAAATGCTAAGCTCGTACTTTTTGGCTCTCTCTCGCTTCTTGTCCGAAGTACTTTAGCCATCGTTGCTTGTTCTCGCTATTAGTTATATAATGAGTTATGATTTCGTTAATTGTCATTTTAATATTTGTTTGACATGCAAACTTATTAAATTTTTCAGAAAAAATACTTTAATGGTGGTTAATGCGTATTCTGAAAGCAAAACTAAAATTAATTAAGAAGTATTTAATGCTCAATTTCATACTCAATAAGAAAAGGCAAAATGAAACGAAGGAGCACTTTATAAATTTTAGTGATTTACTAGTCTCAAATCAATAATGAGAAAAGTTAACACAAAAAAAAACCAACTAACGGTAATATTAACTTTTTACTTGACTCATAAACATATTATTTTATGTTAATTGCGTTAATAATTAAAAGAATATGAAAAATTTATTTGGTGTGTAAATAAAAACGGAAATTAGGTTAGGTCGAACTAGTCTGACCTTCGGCAGTTTTCGTTAAGCCGACGAGACGTTCATAATGTTCCCAGTTGTGGATTTGACTTAACTAACAGCGCTTTTTAAATTTTTTTATAGAACATATATATGAGTTTTCTCTTAAAAAACTGAGGAATAAGACTTATCTGTATAGAATAAGAGAGAGAGAGAGCGAAAACCTCATATACTCTAATCATGAAATAGGAACCTTCTCGAAAAATCCTTAACATTACTGATAAGCCTCTGAATTAAAAACGCTTTGTATTTCCCGAGAGCACCATCCTTTGCCATTTTTAGTTTCAATGTATATAATGACATCTACATATATATCTGGCGTTTTCGCGTCAGAAATACACTGGATGGGTTTGCCGAAGGGCGACGGTAATTAGAAACGAGAAATCAGAACTAGAACCCTGGCCATTTCAACTAACATCTCAGCAACTTTGCATTCTTTTTTTTTTAAATAATTTGGCTTCTTAACTGGCAACTTAAAATCACTGGTTCACCCCTCTACATTACTGCCTTCACTAGCAATTCAGAGCTTCATCTTTCGACTCTATAACTAAGAGTAAATCATAGAATTGAGAACCATTTAGCAATTCCTGTTACGTAAAACAAATAACAGGCTTTTCAGGCTTTTCGACCGAGCTTCTCTTCCAATTTGAAGTTTTGCGTCTTGATGTTCTTCCAACAAATGGAGGAACCTATAGTTTATACTAAGCCACCTCTGAACAGTATATACAACCACCCCCTTAAAAGACCCAGGCAACCTGGTCCATTGGGAAGGCAGAACAGGTTTCAAATAAGAAAATATGGAACAATTTTCTGTAAAGTACAATCATTCAGCTTCTCTTCAGCAGAAGGAAGTGGACTGGGAATACCTAAATCGAGAAATAAATTTGTTTGGAAGAGTTCGAAATGTATGAGAACATGCAGGAACATGTTATATGTAGATACTAACACCAGAAACGCACCGCGGATTAGGGCTTCAAGAATTTACCCGCGGTAAGGCATGCCTGTCGTAAGAGGCGACTAAAATCAAAAAATTTCCAGGGCCAAGGACTGTCACTCCCGCAACATTCCCCAAAAAGTACTTTGGGGAATATTTTTGCGGTTACAACAACAACAACAACATCTAACAAGGAAAGTTAATCGAGAAAGACAGCCGATAAACTAGTCTTCACTAGAGTGATCGACAAAACGTAGAGGAAACCGGTTGAGTTGAGCAAACTCTTAGCGAGTTTAAGCTTGGTACACATGGAAAACCACAACAGTTTCAATGATATGTATTTCGCCTTCTAAACTCTTTGCAATTTTCAGTCGATCTACTTTTACGATTTACGGTAGTGCCTAGATGCTTTCGAACAAATGGAGTGATCTCCGATTAATTCTCCGCCGCTCTGCTGATGGAATTTTTCGAAGGATTAGCGATTTCTTATTAGAAATAAACTGTTTTTCAGTATCTAGCATAGAAAAATTAATATTTTAAATCAATTTTGTATAATTTTGTACTACCTCGGCCACTGTGTCTACCAATGGCACAATAAATAATTTAGGCGCGGACATCAAGTCTACCTTCGGTTCGAAACAACCAATCCATTAAAAATGTGGTTTTACCGAGACATATAGAAATCGTCAAGTCATGAAGGTTCCAAGGTAAAGTTTGAGTTTCCTTTATAAACGTTGAAGTGGTGGTTTAATTTGTGGTGTGCATGTTGATATATTTCCATTGAATGATAGACCTACCCTTTATACTTCGAGTGGCCGGGAAATTTTGATGAGAAACTTTCATTTCCTATCAGAAATACACTCGGAGGGCTTGACTTGCACTGCCGAAAGGCGAACGCAATTGAAAAAATTCTATAATTGTGGACGTTGGTCGGACCAGAGCTTTATTCCAGGCCTTCCGAATATCAGTACGCACTGTCAACTACTTGACAAATGAGCCTTTGTTGACTATTTCGAGTTAGTAAATTAGTAGGATCCTAGATTTTTCAGTCTTAGCCTTGCTAACGCATGAAAAAATTGATGATTATATCTCCAGGTCCCGACAACTTCGAAAGAAGAATATCGCAGAATACTTTGAACTGGTTGAAGGCTTATCGCTTCAGAAATAGATAGCATGTTAATTAAGCATTTTACGGTTATGATTTAAAAAGCTCTGCAACGGTCTGAAAGCCCGAACAGCCTACTGATGGAGATTAGATGGTTCAATCGAGCGCACCAACGTACTTGTATTTCTTTGGTGCAGAGATCTAACGACATTATATTAATGTAATTTTACTACTTTCTACTGAGATTGTAGTGCCGTTCGATAGAGAAACTAGCCCTCTCACACCTGCATAATGCTCATAAGATGAATTTACTGCGCCATTTTTTCAGTACATTTTCTATAGTTTTAAAATTTTATTTGAAATTCTTGCATAATAAGCTGAAAAGGAAAAAAAATACAATTTTTTTAGCCACTCGGATTTTTAAAATTAATTTCCATCGAAAAATTAAAGAAAATTGGCGTATATCGAGCCACTCGCCCCACTTGATCCCTATAAATTGTAACTTACTTTCCATTGCTAAAAAAAATTTAAATATCAATCAGTCTAACAATATGTGACTTACTTTGACAGTTGGCGCCGATGGCCAATGAAGAAATCAACAACAATGCAACTGACACCTTTGCAATTGTGCGAGTCCATTCGCCGCGTTGCGCTGACATTTGCTGATGTGCACTTTCCGTGTGTGTCGCTGTAGTAGTGGTATTGTCTGTTGATTGTTGTTGTTGATATTGTTGCTGTTGTTGTTGTTGATGCTGCTGCTGTTGGGCTATTTGCTCCTTCATTGCGGGCAAGTTTAAATGTCGACTGCGAGAAATTGTGAAAATTTCACCAAAATTTAAATTAAAATTGTACAAGTTTTTGTGAAAAATTGTTGGCATTTCACTTGTGACGTGTTGTTGTCGCTGAAATTGCTACAAGACAATCTATAGTGCCTTGTGCATTTATATTTATTGTCTACTTGTTAGTGCAGCAGCTGGTTTATTTTCCTTTCGAAAGAAACAAAATAATTGCAAAAATGGTAAATTTTTTTATTTTGTATGTATAATATTTTATTTAAATGAAAACGCGTGCTATGCATATCATAAAACAACTTATTTCCAATTTTTTAATTTCTAAAAATTAATATTTTTGAATTTGTTTGAATTCTGTCATTTTGTTTTGTTTATTTATTTTTTTTATATCATTTTTTTATTTTCATTGATTTATTATTAATTTTTTTTTAATTTTAAAAATTTTTTTTATTTACTTGTATTTATATATTGTTTCACATTTGTTTTATTTTTTTTTTGATATTTTTTTATTTTATAATTGATTATTTATTTTTGATTAAAAACTTATTTAATATATAAATTTTTTAATCTACTTTTTATGAACTTTTTTTTAATTTTTTTATTTGTTTTATTTATTTTTAAATCTTTATTTATATATTTTTTGTATTTAATTATTTGTTGTTAACTAAAAAATAAATTAATTAATTAAGCCAGTTGACATTTATAATTTTGCTTTTAAATTTGAATCTTAATTTATTTACTTTTCCACCTATATTTTACATATTTAATCTTTTATTTATTTCATTTTCCATGATTTTGTTTTTATATTTATAATTAATATTAATTCGTAATTAAATTATTTAATAAAATCTATTTGTTATAATATTTATATTAATTTTTTATTTTCTTCATTATTTTATTTTACATATATATTTTAGATATTTTTTTATGTTTTTTTTTACTTATAAAGTAATTTATTTTTGGTAATATTGTATATTTTAATCCAAATTTATTTTTTCCATCTTTTACCTTGCTACTTTTTTATATAATTTTTTTCAAATTATCCAATTAATTTTTTTGTTTTATTTTAATTTAATTTATATACTTATATTTTATTTCATCTTATTTTTTAAGTTGTTTATTTTAATATTGTATTTAAATCTCTTCTATTTTTATTTATGTGTCTGATATATTTTATTTCTTTATAGCATTTATTTGTTTTTTCTTTTTTAATTTAAAATTTTGTGGTTTGATTTCTATTTCCATTTTTGATTTCAAATTCAGTTAAAATTATTTTTTATTGAAATTTATTTTTCCAATACTTTTTTACATATTTTTTAAAATTTTTGTCTATCTATATATGCGCTATACATTTTTTTCACAATTGTGTTTTTGTTTTTGTATATTACTTTTATTTTAATTTTTTTTTCATCCATTATTACTTTTTTTCTTTGTTTGATTTATAGTTTTTTTTATAATTAATTAGCAGTTTTTTCTTTTTTGTTTCAGTTTATTTTTTTACTTTTATTTTTTTTTTGGTCATATTATGTTTTATTTCTGTTCTTATTATTTGTTTTGCTTTTTATTGTTTTTAATTTTTTTATTTTATATATATTCACATTTTAAGCAAATAAATTTTTAGTCTACATTTAAATCTATTTTTTTACCATTTTATTTATATTTATTTGTCTGTAATGTTTTATTTCTTCATTTTATATAATTGTTTTTTTTTTATTTTTTTTTTTTTTTGATTAAATTAAATATTATTTTTTGTTTAGTATTTATTTTGGCTTTTTGCTTCTCCGTGTATATTTTTAGTATTATTATTTCTCTTTTTATATATTTTCGAATTAGTTTTGCATTTATTTGCTACTTTGCTTTAAATATTTTTTTGGTTTTCTTTATTTTTTATTTCAATAAATCTTCTTTAATTCTCCTTTATTAACAAATTCGCACCTACCTCCTCCTCTTAATAAATTTTTGATCTATTTTAAAATTTATTTCATTATTTTAATGCTGAATTCATCTTTCTTTATTTTACAATTCTATTTTTTTCATTCATGCATCCATCAGCCATTCGAAGGCGACGTGTTGAAAATTTTACCTATTTTATTATTTTTTGTTTTTATTTTCTTATAAATATTTTTTTTATATTAAATTTGATTAGAACTCTAATTGTTCTTTCTTTTATATATTATTAATTTATTCTATTTATCTATTTTTATTCGTATTTTTTTAGCTCTGGTTTATTTTTTAAGTCAGATGTTGTTCCTTTTTATTATTGTTTGATCTTTTTAATTCATAAAATTTTTTTCTGTCTGTTTTCTATTTATATATGCATTTTTCAATTTATTTTTAAGTTGCTTTATTTATAAATTTATTATTTATTTTCATTTTTATTATTTTATTTATTTTATTTTTATTTCTTTATATTTTGAATATAATTTTTTAGTAAATATATATTTGTCTTATTTATTTGTTTAATGTCAGTCTGTGTTTTTGTGTTTTACAACCTTTTTTAAATTCATTTTATTTTTTGGCGCCCCCAACAGCCAATAACAGTAAAATACTAGTGCAAATATTTTAAACTCTCACTGTTGTGGTTTTTACTTGCATTGCTCATTTTTTTATTTTTTATTTTTATTTATTTGCATTGCACGTTTCGTTGGCAAATCACTGGTCGCTGCTATAAAGTACTCTTACACTCGTTATTTACGTTACTGTTTTGCTTTATGTTTCTTGTTTAACTAAAATTGCTTAGCCGCTGCTGGCGATTATGTGAGCAGCTAATGTAGTTGTTGTTGCTGCTTATTTAAACGATCATGTATGCGAACGCGCGCGTAATTAATTTTATTTGTTACTATTTTATAATATGTTGTTTTTGTTGTTGTTGTTGTTGTTTTAAATATTTATTTTTCGTATTGAATTATTTTCATACAAGAGCCTGTATTTTTCTCAACAATTATTTACTTATAATAAATTTTTTTTTCACTTCACTTCACTCACTATTTATGAAGTCTTCAAGGCTAAATAAAATATGCATTACATATATATATATACATACATTTTTATATGTACTTATATTTATATGTATAAAGTATACACCAAATCACTTGAATTTTCGCATGTGAAAATTGCAAATAAATTTCAGTTATTCACTAAATGCAAGGGAATTGAATTGTTTAAATATTAAAACATGTTCGCTATACATTTTTGCATACAATCACATAGCAAGTCATATCAGATATTCATTCATTTTTGAAAATGCAGTGTGAAAATTTCACAAACTTTGCTTTCAACGATAATTCAAATGAAGTTTGTGGCTTAAGTCTTTTGTTATCACTTGCATGTGCGCGTCCAAGTGAGCATCTGAGGTTGGTGATGGTTGTTGTGATCTGTCAAGAGTTTAATGAATTTACGGAATACAACAAGAAATAAAAATAAAAATAAAAAATAGTTTTGCTTTTTACCCACGCTTTCTATAGCGCAGCTGTGTGCAGCAGCAGCTGTTTGCTGAATGACAGCTTTTATGCGCTTCAAACGAATTTTAGTTGCAATTTAATGCTTGAGAGCAAAATGGCAATAAATATTTTTATTTGAAATTATTGTTAGCGCCATAAATAATTATTCTTAGTTAAAGAATCGCATGCATTTTGCATTAATGCATAATTGAATTGAATTTTATGCAAGTCTAGGCTGAGAAAAAATTAATATAATATTTTGCGAGGTCAATTTGGCTTAAGTAGACATTTGGTGGATATTCTTAAATCTATTTAATTAAATTGTTTATACGCTTAGGAAACATATTTTCATTTAGAAGTTCTTGAGAAAAAAAACACAAAGAATTTAAAAATATTAAATTAAATTCTCATTTAAAATCTTATAATTTCCTGCTTAGCTAAAAAATTTGAAGGTAAAATTTTAAAAATTTGAGACATCTTGTAGTATAATATAAATTTTATTTGTGAAAATTTTATTTATTTATTTGGAAACCCTGAAGTTGTACTTTAGAATTGAAGATGTGGGGTTCTGATTTTCAGGTAACTTTAAAAACTTTAGGTTTTCATTACTTTCTTATCTTTCTCAACCCTCAAGCTAAAACGAAAAATTTCTTTTTGAACATTTTCATGCAGATCGAGTAGTTTCAGGTTTTCGACATTTTTTTTTTATTCTTCCAACCCCAAAACTATAGTTCCTCAGTTATTTACAAGCAGATCGAGTGATTTGATGTTTAAAAAAAACTTTTGGCATTTTCTACCAACTTCCAAACTAGAGTTCATCGCTTTTTTTGAATATTTTCCAGCAATTGACGATTTCCAAAAATTTTGAACAAACGCGTAGTATAAAAATTCTAACAATATTATCGATTTTTTTCTATACCAAGTATAAACAAAAATACTAATGTAAATACATCTTTTAGCCCAATAATAACAAAAATAATAAACCTCCAAGGCATGCTGTGCAAGGCGGAACTGAGAATGCATTAAAGTATTTGATCGAATTCAACCAAGTTTGTGGCTTAAGTCTTTTGTTAGGTCGAGTATAAAAGAAAAATAACTGAATTCAACTTTCGAAACAAATTAACAATAATTTTATTAAACGAAATTTTACGAACAAATTTATGAATTACTAAGGCCAGAAGATTATTCATTCCACATATTAAGATTAAAACTTTAAAAGCTATTAGAATTTACAGCGTCTAAAATTGAAAATTCAACAGAAAATGAGTATAAAATTTAGAATAGCAAATAAATGTGTAAATATCTGCCACATGTATTTTTAAAATTGATAAAATTCATTGCATTGGAATTAACTTTAAAAGCTTAGTAATTAAGTTTTCAGTTAGTAATGGACAAAAGAGGTTAAAAAGCTTACACTTCTTGAAACAATCTTTCACAGACGGCGTTAGACATTAATAAATCTCCAAACGATTGTTGAAATAAATCTCAACGGTTTACAAATTTTAACGAAAAGAAACACAATTTTGTCGTTCATAATGTAAAAACTGAAAAACATATTCCATATGATATTCAACGGTAGAGTAGCGAAATTTAAAGAGAAATAAATTTAAAATCGTAGCCTAGAGTTTTCTTAATATTTTTTTTTTAGCAAAATGATTATTTTTCTCCATAAATTTTCCTTAAATTAATTTTGTTCATATTTTTTTATTTTCATTTATCTCATATAGTTTTTATTCGCAATTTTGTAATTCCCTACCACATGCGCTTACGACGGCTTTATTTCCTTTCACTTTAATATACTAAGCAGTTTTAAAATCAACAATCAAGCCACAACTCGTTCGCTCGCTTAGTATGTTCGCTACCACAAAATTGACCTCGTCTTACTATCGCTCGCACAAAGAGAGGGAAATAAAACGTATAGTGAATAAAAACATATACGTTTTACATATATTTATTATTTATATATATATATATATATATATATGTGCAGTAGCAGTTTTTAGCATGCAATAGGCTTGTTATGTATGAATGGGCAAAATATATTTTTCTCCCCAAACATGCAATGAATATTTCGTGCATTAAAATATTTTTGTTTAATATTTTGTTTTCCTTTTATTTTCATATTCTTGTTTTCGCTTTCAATTTGGTTTCAGCGTTTTTTTCACATTTATAGAATATAGGGTTATTCATTTCGGGGTTTCAAAAGTATAGGGTTGGTTTTGATATATGAACAACCTAACTGTCCAACCAAACAAGTTTTGTTTTAGTTAGAAATCTGGCCTTTATGAAAATTTAAAACGAATGAACATAATCGTCTAACTACAGGTGTTGGAAGACTCATTCCACTTCAAATATTGCTTATTCTGGACGTTCTCAGGGGCTGGGACTTTCTTAAGGCATTAATGGAGTATTTTGTACCTGTACTTGCACCTATATCCGTACAAAGTCCTGCTAATGGGGATAAACCATTAACTCTTGAGCGCTTGAGAACCAATATGCGCTCAGTACGGCTAAAATACCGCACAATATGTGCCAAGAAATAATCGAAAATTACCTCAAAGGGATCGAAATTTGCAAAAACTTGCGAGGGGGTAATTTGTTTAATGTACCGTTTCAAATTGCAAAGATTCAAACTTCATAATAAAAAAGAATTTTCATACAAAAAATATTTTAAACGCATTTTTTACGTTAACTTTCGAAAACTGCAAGATGGATAAACCTTTGCTTTTTTATTTAATACTATTTATGTTTTAATTTTTTATTTTATTTTCTTTTAATTTACTTACTCTATTTTATATGATTTAATATGATTTTTTATTATTTTTTTTTTTCTTTTATTACATTTGATTGAATTAAGTATAATTAAATTTAATTTAGTTTCATTTATCTAATATTCTTTTATTTAATTTTATTTTATCTCAACTTTTTTTTCAATTCATTTTCTTTTCTTTTATTATATTTAGACATTTCTTTATTTTATTTTAATTCTTTAATTAATTTAATTAAATTTTATTTCTTATTTTTTTGTGATTTTATGAATTTTTAATTTACTATTTTTAAATTAATTTAATTTAATTTTATTTTCTTTAATTCTATTTTATTTTGTATTATTATGTTTTGTTTGTTAATCTTTGTTTATTAAAATTATTTAATTTTATTTTTTATATAACTCTTTTATTATATTTTAATTTCTTTTTATTTTATTTTATTTATTTTTTTCTTTAATTCATTTAATTATTTATTATCTGACTTGATCTTATTTTATGTTATTTCATTTTATGCTTATTTTAGTATATTTGATTTTTTTATGTTTAAGTTCATTTTATTTTTTTGTAATTTTATTATATTTTATTTTACTATTTTTTAATTAGTTTAATTAACTTTTATATTAATTTTTATTTTTATTCTATTTTATTTTGTGTTATTTATTTTGTTCTATTTTATGTCTGTTTATTTTAATTATTAAATTTAATTTTTTTATACAATTCTGTTATTTTCTTTTAATTTCATTTAATTTAATTTTATTTCATATATTATTCTATTATTTTATTTTAATTTCATTTTATTTTATATAATACATTTAATTTTTTTATTTTATCTTTCTTATATTTATCTAATTTATATTATCAAAATTTTTATTTAGCATATTTTTCATCCCTCACTATTTTGCTCGCACTTTTCAGCGTCCCTTTCATTTACACTTCCAAATCGAGCTCAATGCAATCCGGTAATTTTTACCAAACACCCACACTTTATTAGAATGCTCGCAAAACATATTTATAACGGCAAAATAAAGCAACACGAAGGTGGCTTTGGTATTAATTTGCTATTTTTGCAAATCTCGTTTTTTCACTGTTACACATTTTATTCGAAAACCTTTTAGAAACACTTCGTAGGCTTGTATATGTACATTTATGTACGTGTATGTATGTATTGTAACGAACTTCGCATACTTCACGCAACAACAACAGCTGCAATTTACGTCAATACGCAAATTAAAACGTTTTGTTTTTTCGTTTCATAAATTTTTACTTTATTTACCGTGGCGTGAAACCAAATTTCCAATCACTATGGAAAGTCCGCAAACCTTATTTACTGGTTTGCGTTGACTATAGCTTGCAGATTCTTTACTGACGTCGCTTACCTCGCACACTCGAAGCGCTTTTCCGCTGCGCACACTCAACACGCCCGTAAACGTCAGCACGGAATGAAAGTTGAAACGTAACTGGTTGCGCTTACGAGCGGCCAACTCTCAACAAAGCCAACTGGCAGTCACTAACACCACTAAGCAACCGTTCAAAACTTTAGAAAAGCTGCTGCGGCTACTACTCGCTCTCTGCCATGGCCCATAACTACCCAAATCGGCAGTGTGGCTGCGTTGTTTGGCTACTGTTGCGAATAGTCCACCACCATTGCCTTATTTTATTCCCACTTGGTGTTGTTGCTTCTCAGCTTGAACAGCTGCTGTTGTTCAGGTCTCGCAGTTTTTTGTTAATATTTTGCCGCTGCGTCTGCGTAATCGCAAAATGTATCCGTACCTTGTGCTATTGCTATGTTACGTATGTATGTATGTAGTAGTGGTGTTTCTTGTTTATGTCGCTTACTCATTTTTTCACTTCTCATTAACCATCATATTTCTTCTCATTCTTTGTTTTTGTTTTTCTCCTCTTGTCTCAGTTGGCCCTAAGTTGTTGTCTAAGCTCACCTTTTAAGTGCTGCGTCTCTTGTCCACTCGTTTGTTGACTTTTGCCTTTTACTGTGAGAGCGTTAAGCCGCGTGCTTACGGGTATATTTAGTTGTTATAAAAAATATGAGTAGCCGTTTTTGTGTGTTTAGTTTTTGTTTTTGTTCTAGTTCGTTTTTGCATGTTCCTTAAGCGTATTTGTGGCTCTGTGTATGAGGCATTTGTGTCGCAAATTCCCACAATACAATTGGGCTAATCATAAAGCCAAATGCGGCAGAGTTGCCAAGTTTATGTTTTTATATAAATACAATTAATTAGTAACTACAATAATAGCACTTTTTCGGCAGGGGTTGTCAGCTTCTCCGAGTGTTTTTCTAACATGAAACAAAGGCTCCTCATAAAAACAACTATCAGCAATTCGGGGGCGGCTCAGTAGAAATTTTAGGTGCCTCTGTTGTTGTTGGAAAAACATCAAGTCGCAACACTACAACTTAGAGGAGGAGCACGGCCAAGAATAACTTCAGCGGTTACAAAGCGCCAATTGTATATATATATAACAACACTTTTAGGTATTCTCAGTTGATACTTTTATTCCACCATTGACTTAGAGAGTCGGAGACTTTGATACCGAACGGCTTGTCTTCTTCGTCGACAAATGAAAACAGCTCGCCTAGTAAGTATCTATTCCAGCGTCATTGATTAGGCTTTCGGGTTACTTGTTGACCTAAACAGGATTAGATCTTCGGAAGGGTGTCAGTCCTTGGCCGGGTAAAATAGTTGTCAACTCCAGTGCGTAGGGTTGTAATACCCATCTAGTGAAATATAGACAGGGTGGTTCCGCTACTCAAACCGGGGAGGCCAGCCAACAAAGGAAAACGTGAGAACTCTTGAGGCTTTACTGCTTCCGACTTTAACTCAAGATCTGAGACCAGCAGGAAATCATAATGCACAGTACCTCAACAACACTTAACACCATAAACACCCAGATAGTCAATGGCCTCAACCAAAACCGGCCGCGTGCGCGAACTGTCATAGTAGCACTGGTACTTCCGAAAGCTTTTGGTACAGTCTACTATTCAGTGCTAGTATAGGATATTGAGGAATATTCTTTGCCGCCTCAATTGAAGAGGTGGATCATGGGCTACTTGATTGGTAGTCAGGTCGGTGGAATTTCAAGGTCAAACATCGTAACTCGAGAAGGCTAAGCAAATGTTCCCTCTGGGTGGTGTCCTCCATGACTGTTTAGCTTCTATATCTTGAAAATCCCTCCTCCATCAGAAAGGATTCCCTGAACCCCATATGCCGATGATTGCTCGATGTTGCCGTCTGACCAGAATATTGATGATCTTTGTTCGAATGTGAACGGCTTTCTCGATGACCTATCTCACTGGCTACAGGCTCAAGCTGAATGTAAAAGTCGATGTCGTTAAAACTCTGAACAGATGAATCTATGATTTGCTGTGTAAGCAATTCCTATAGCACTTTTAGGTTGAAATATCTCAAACACTTGACGTGCTGGAACTATTTTGATTCCAGATTCGTCGGAAAAGTATAGTCTTGTTCCTGGTTACAACCCTATATAAAATTTTGTCGGCATGTGGTATTTCTCTTCTTCCATTCATCCATCACAAACTTTGCTTTATATGAACACTGTAGTATATCCAATCAAGCCGCAAGTACTTATACTAGCTTCCACCAGCCTAGCAGCAGCACCTTCGATGTTCGCCCGCAGTGGTACCCTCGGAAGATGGATGGTGCGAAAAAAGACTTCAATGATACCTTGAACCGATGTCGCAGTTTTGCACTGAAGCTTCTTCTTTTTAAGCCGTGAGGCAAAGCTTTCCACAAGGGTCCTTTCCAAGGATTAGACATGCTTACAGGTCATGCTTAATTTTATAATTATTTTTTTTTTTACAAAAATTCTCAACTATTTTTTAATTTTTCTATTTACAAATGTCAATTAGATATATTAGACGCGGAGTTTGAGAACAATTCGCAGGAGTGGAAGTTTTTCACTTAAAGTCTATTAAATATTCCTATGTATATACATACGTATATATATATATACTTCATATTTATAAATGAACTAAATTCCAAAAGCGTGTGCGCTAACCGTTATATCGCATAAATATTTATTACTTACACAATTATAAAGTACTTAATTACAACTATAGCGGTTTGGTATCGTTTCATTATTATAATTACACATCTCAATATACATAAATACATATATACGTATGAGTGCGAACTGAAAACAGATTTTTACAAAATTGCATTTCCCTGCATGTGGGAACTAAACGCAAAACCCAGCGCATGAAAGGGTCACCAGTTCGAGACACCGCTACGGAGGCTTGCAGAAAATTGCCACTAATACTTGTAGAACCTGTTTGGCAAGTAACATAACCGTTCGAGTGGCTGACTGTCTTTACACAACAATAATAAAAACGGTAATTCAGAACTGTTACAGAGTCTGATTACTACATACCAGCGTAGATATGTATGTGAGTATGTCGAATTAGAGTTCCAATGCATACTTAGCAAATATGAGGGCAAATGAAGAGCTAAATTGTACAAGAAATAAGCAAAAAAAAAACCATAAAAAAATAAGATGAAATAAAGTCAAATAACGTAAGAAAATAATAAAAACAAAAAATAAAAAATAAAACAAAAAAAGTAAAAAATATAAATTAAAAAAGGATAAATTAAAATAAAATAATATTCAAAACCTCATATGAAATAATATAAAATAAATTGATATTAAGTAAAATAATATAAAAAAATAGTGATTAAAATATAAAAAAATGAAATCGAATAAAAAATAAAATAAATTAATATTTATTAAAATAAAATAAAATAAAATAATATAAAATAAAATAAAATAAAATAAAATAAAATAAAATAATATAAAATAAAATAAAATAAAATAAAATAAAATAAAATAAAATAAAATAAAATAAAATAAAATAAAATAAAATAAAATAAAATGAAACAAAATAAGATATAATAAAATAAAATAACAAAGTAAATATAAAAAGATATAAATAAAATAAAATTAAATATAATAAAAATATTAAATAAAACAAAATAAAATAAAATAAATTAAAATAAAGTAAGATATAACAAAACAAAATTAAAAAAATTAAAAATTATTAAAATGAAATAAGATAAAGTAAATTAAAATAAAATAAACTAAGAAAGATTAAAATAATCTAAAATAAAATAATATAAAATAAAATGAAATAAAGCAAAACAAAGAAAACTTTGAATAAACGGAAATAAAATTAAATAAAAAAATGATAACGAAATAAAGTAAAATGAAACAAAATAGAATACAGCAGAACGAAATGCTCCATAAAATATTTTATAAGATGAAATAAAAATTAAAAAAAAATATAAGACACATTAATCACAATAAAATAAAATTAAAAAATTAGACTTAATTAAACTAAACCAAAATATTAACAAAAAAATAAAATAAAATAAAAGAAATAAAATAAATTAAAATTAAATTAAATTAAATGAAGTTAAAAGAAATAAAATAAACAAAAAAATCAAATCAAATCCATCAAAATTAAACAAAGGAAAATGAAATAAGTTGAAAAAAAAATAATCAAATAAAATAGGAAAATATAAACAAAAAAAAAAAAAAAACAAAATGAAAGCATTAAGAAATCAAAAAATTAAAAATTAAGATAAATTAAAACGATCAAATAAATGTACTAAATTAAAAATCAATAGAAAAAAGAAATAAAATAAAACAAAAATAAATAAATAAAAATAAAAATGTTCTTTAAGAAGTAAAGTAAAAATTAAAAAAATTAAAAAGTTAAACTAAAAAATTAAAAAAAACCGGCAAAATAAAATAAGATAATATAAACTAAGATAGAACAGAATAAAAAACAAAAATTATTATATAAGATATTAAAAAAGTGAAATATAAAAAATATAACGAGAAATTAAATTAGCTTGAGTTATATAAAATAAATTTAAATGCTGTAAAAAATGGAATTGAAAAAATGTTTAACGACTGCTTTTTCTAGGAAACATGTGTGTAAGTACGTAGGCAGGTCCGTGAGTTTTTCATTTTAAGCAGCGCAATTACCTTTCCGACTCCTTTCTTTCTATGTCAATTACATGCAGTTTATTGCACAGCAACAGATATAAATAAGCCAAAGAAATGGTTAATTGAAAAAAGTATTTGTAAATATCACTCACCGCCCAGTTGATGTACATACACGTACATATGTACGAAGAAGAACAACAATGACTGCAGCAACAATGCGGCCACATCATCACGAGCGCCATCAAGCGATGGCCATTCATACCATCAGATGATGCGCGGCAGCGCCATAAATATCGTCGATGGAGAGACAGGAAAATCGAAAAAATTAGGTCACACGCGTGCCAAAGCGTCACTACAGACGACGATACAAATACACACATGCACACACACGCTTATAAATCATTACTGCAGCGCGTTGCTGCCACAATGGTGTTAAATGAATTATTGTATTGGTCAGCGGCCAAAGCAGCAAACTAACCTAACTCAAGGCTAACAAAAACAATAAAGAATGGGCATGTTATTGTTTGATTGTTTTTGTGCTCTTGTTCTTTAATGCTACAATACCATAAATGCTACGTATGTGTAGCTCGCCTCTTGGCCATCGACAGCACTGCAAGCAACTTATTTTGTTGATTATTTCAGTTAGATCTCGTAGAGCTAAGAAGCTGTTTAAATAGTTGTTGGCAAAGCCACGAGCTAAGTAAAAACGTTTTTCTTTTCTTTGTTGCCAATGTAACATATTGAGCTTTTACAGCGCAACAACAGTTTCTGCTGTATTGATGGAGTGGTGCGTCTGTTAAGAAAGCTTTTTGAGCTTTGAGTTGTTAGGAAGGAAAGCTGACGCATATTTTTAATGTGGTTGGCAACGCCAACCAGAAATGACAGTGTTCAAGAAAAGTTTGGGTTTGGTAACAAACAGTTTACAAGATTTTTGCAAGAAAACCTTTTTTTTTACTGTTTTTTTTTCGTTTTTACGCAATTAACATGAATAAAAACCTCATAAAAATTATGTATAAAAATTATATAAAATTTTGCTTCTTTATTGTGAAATAATTAGGTGCACTCCTGCTTATAGGAATGAAGTTAAGGTTACAAGACCATACCCAATTCACAAACTTGCATTCTCGCAGCACAACCAGAACACGTGCGCAACCCGTACGCGAGATGTGATAACCACGATCACGGCAAAAATAAAGGAGGAAGTTTAACTGGAGCCGCTCCGACATCCTTGGTTTAAATGCTCCCCGAAGTCTCTTTGAAGTGTCCGTTGATGAGAGGTATGACTGCGAGCGGGCGACAGTCTTGAATCAAGCGCCTCGCTGCCCGTTCCAATTAAAAAATCAACTGCATATCCCGGCAAGCCTACTAAGGACTATGATTTAAGAAATTGCACCTGAAATTTTCGTTCTCATAATTGGGAAAGTATCGGTGCCCAACTGGTTTTTGTCCTCGTAGGACTAAAGGTTTACAACGCCGCCGACTAATGATTGCGATGGACAGAAAGAAACGAATAGTTACTTGGGACTTTTAAAAAAGAGCGAAAATTTGGAGTCTTGATAAAACATTCTCAAATGATTTGCGGCTAATCGACTTCGCCCGGTTTCGAAATACGCTTGTCTGTTTTACTATATTCCAAAACAAGAAATCCTTCTAGCTACGTAATTATACCTCTTAAGTTCTGGATGTGAGACCGCTCCAAGAATTTAACAACAAAGCTAAGCACTCCAGTGGCGCAAAGAGCGTTCTTCATCAAAAACAAGAAATGTTCGATATCGAAAAGCTTCTTTTCACTTGAGCTCGATGAGAGCACCCATCACCAACTTCATATGAGCAAAGAACGGTTTGTGGGATAGGATTAAACCATACTTTCTACTTCCTCTTCTTTACTTCTCAGCCAAGTTACCAAAATTACGCCATTCATTTCGTCTTCTCGCTGTTTGGTGCCAATTAAAAATATCAAGTCAACCAGGTCTCTTTCTGGTTCTTTCAACAAAACGGAGGTCTTCCTCTTCCCTGTCCTCTGCCTCCACCGGCGGGTACTGCATCGAAAACTTTCGAAACTGCAGTATTCCCATCCATCGGGCCCACATGACCCTGTTTCTCGATTCAACAATGTCAAAGTGTCCGTATATCTCATACAGCTCATCATTCCATGGGCATTATCGCAGTTCCCAACAAGAATTTGCGGCACTTAATTAGGCTCCAGGAACCAAAGAGGTATTCTGACGATCGAAGCTCTGATCATACTGAGTTTATGCAGGAAACACTTCAGAATGGCAGTGGAAGCGCAACACCCAGAGATTATGAATCCTAAACCCAATGCTATAGACGTTCCAGCTGCCGATTGTGATCAAGTTTGAAAAGCGATTATCCGCAAAGATAAAAACAAAGCGGGGAGGCCAATAGCTTTCAGCTGTGATTTTCAAGCATGGCGCCAAAAAACTCCTGAAGAATATAGTCGGCGGAAAACAAGTGTGGCGGTGGGAATCTGAGCGCGCTCCACCTATTAAAGCCCACTTTCAATCAACTGATTGGAACTTCTGAAGGTTTGTTTATTCCTTCCTGAAGTCTTGGAAGAAACATGCCTTTCAAAAGTGACTTTAACAAACAGAATTATGAAAACAACAGTACAGCTGCCTCTATTATGAAAACAAAAAATTAACCAAATCACCACAGATTTTTCACTTGAAAAACTTTTCAAAATTATGATAAAAATGTCAGTAAATTTTCAATATTTGCCCATTTCACAATTCAGTTTGGAAATTGGAATTTATTATTTATTTTCATTTTTTTTTGTGTTTTTTTTTTTTCAACGAAAACACATTAAGAATTTCCCATCCGTTACATTTCGCCATTTTCGTCGAAATTATGAATTATAATAAATACAAAAATCCAGTCTTGAGACATTCAACACTCTCTACAATACACTTCCTGGCCGAACCCTTTGAAGTTGAACAGGAAATTAAGGAAGAAATCACACAGGACAACACCTTTCATAAGCACAAAGTATTTGCGGTTTATCATATAATGATGCTGCTTTTGAGTAGCATTGAACTGCGTTTATTTGTTCTGGATGTGAAAACACCGTTACACATAGCTGTTGTTATGCCACATAACATATTTATGTGGACAAAGGATGCTTGGAGTGAGCGTTTCCAATATGGCAGCGCTTGGATTAGGCAATTGCCTGGTCTAGTGAGTAACGCTTGGTTGGAACAGCGCAAGGAGCAGGTGTCTTTGAGACAACTCAAAGACCTTATACTCTCCCTGCTGGTCTCCTATATCGATAAGAAGCGGAAGGAGGATGCATATAAAATGTTGATGTATGTAAAAAGTAATTACATTGTATTGTCCGCAGTATTTATAATAGTTTAAGAGAGAGCTTGAGATGATCGCAGCTGAGAAATCGTTATGAGATCTCAATATTTCCTTTTTTTTGTTTTTGTTTTTAGTTCCGTACAAGAATATCAGAACCTCGAAGAGACCCTATCAGAGGAATTAGAAGAGCAAACAAGCAGATTTAAAAATATAAAGCATGAAAAGAAAGCCTTCGACCAATGCGTTCAAAGTATACTGAGAATAAGGCAAATTTATGCGAGAAAAAAACTCGAACAAATTCGTGAGTTCGAAAAAGAGAGAGAAATCTATTATTTATAAATTATTGGTAATTTCGAACTCACGAATATATTTATCTTTCTTTTATCTGTTAGTAATTCTAAAAATGAAAGAACGCTACAATACAGGCTACAATGAGGCCACAGAGAAACAAGCCACACTTGAATGTGTTTGTGCAGAGAACAAGCTCAGCAAACAAATCGAGAATACCAAGAAAAGCATAGAAAGCGATGATTATATATCAGTTTGTAGAAGAGATGTTTATCACAACAACATAGAGGTGAGATAGTAAGAATTTTGGTTTTTGTTTTGAACTCAAAACCCCTCATCACGCGTCTGAAGATCTTACACAGGAAAATCGATGAATTGCAAGGACGTTTTGCCAATGAGCAAATGAAATTAAATAATCAAAGTCAACTCTTACGTAATAAATTGCATAAAATGAAGACGAACACGACATACTTCAAAGAGAGACTGCAACTCTACAGAGCGGCTGTTGGTGAATTTCAGGCAGGGAAAATCAACGATTTTCGTGTGTTGAGAAATAAGCTGGAAGCGCTCGCAAATAAGAAGGCACTTTTAATCGCCGATAAAACGCTTGATCCCAACTTTGTGGTAAAACGAGAAAAATCACTATTTCGGTTTGGAGGATCGGCAAGTCGAATATCTAAAAATATGAGCAACTAAAATGCAAAAAAGTGTGCACAAAAAAGTTTTAACCACATTAAATAAAAAGAAAGCAGAAAAAATTAGACAAAAAAATATTAAATTATACAAAACAACAACAAAAAATTACAACAAAAATATATAAATCAAGAGAAAATTAAAATAAATAAAAAAAAATTAAGCCGAAAAATTAATAAATAAATGAAAAAAAAAAAAATTTAAAAATGATAAAAAATTAAAATTCGTAAAAAATAAAAAAAAACTTAAATTAAAACATTAAAAAAAGGTTTTCCTATAAAATTTTTTAAAAAAAATCCTAAATACATAACACAAAAAAAAACAACTAGAAATAATAAGCGATTAAAATAATCAAAATGATACAAAACAAAAATTTGCAAAAATTATAAAAAAAAAATTTAAAACTCCATAAAATAATTAGTTATGTACTTACATATGTATATATTTGTAAACAATAATTTATTAATTTTTTTCCGGTAATACATAATAAATACGCAATTTACGCAATTTATAATTAGTTATGTACTTACATATGTATATATTTGTAAACAATAATTTATTAATTTTTTTCCGGTAATACATAATAAATACGCAATTTATATTTTCTAATGTTTTCGAAATTTTTTTCAAAACACGAATACCTTAGCAGGCAATCCTCCAGTCGGCAGCCCTCCAGGTGGCAGCCTCAAATGTAAATGGATAAATCAAAGCTTGAGGGTAGGGTTGGCAGTGGTGTATTCTCAATAGACGAACTCTCCTTCGGCGTACGGTATATCACAATGTCTTCCAGGCGGCGATATCTGCTATTATGGAGGCAGCAAGGCAAATTTATAGATGAGAATGTCTTGATTTTCAGCGACAGTCAGGCAGCAATGTCGCACTTGGCTCACTTACATTAAATTCCAAAATCGTGCTAAACTGTCACCGATGTCGACAGAAGGCAACCAAATAGAACTGTCTCTCACGTGGGTCCCTTGTTATAGGGACATCTAGGTGGATGAACTTGCTAGGCAAGGTACGACTACGCAGATTCTTCTACATAAACTACATATTGATATGCCCTTTTGCCATTTGTGAGCAACTTCTCAAGTAATTTACATATTAACATTGTGGGTCAAGTTGGAACAAAACTACAAGCTACCGCAAATTCAAACCAAACTGACCAAAATGGAATCAGAAAAGAGTACAGGGTATATAGTCATTAAAAAAGGGGATATGTCCAAAGTAATAAGAGTCCACAAGACGTCACTGTCTGTTAGGACCCCATGCAGGGAGACTAGGTGCTAACTATAGATATGCTGCGGATGATGAGAGGTAGGAAACTTATAAATTGTGCAACTGCCGTGGTTTCAGGATGATTCGGAATTTCGGTACCCTACTTTTGGGTGGTCTACCGAAGATCACTGACGTTAAGTCATGGACCTAAGAAGGCCAAAGCCGAACTGATTTCATCTATTGGAACGGCGTAACGATTAACTATGTCAATGTCGCCGAATATCTCCTACAGTTCATCATTTCATCGTTTGCTATAAACGCAGTTGTCATTTCATGGGAAAACTGGTAATAATGCAGACACATCGAATGTTGCCAAGTTCCAAACTTCTGCGCCATATAATAGAATATGAGCAACTTATAGAGTTTATATGTTATTCGTCGCGGAAGGACTATACGTAACAACATCTCATCAGCCAAGAGTTGTGCAGAGAGGGAGTTGATGCTGCTTTCCACACAGACTTAATTATTTACGACCTGAAAATTGTTTCCATCAAGAGGGAGTAGAGTTGAGTTGCCGCAGCCACTGATCAGCTCAATGGAACACTCGAAAAAGTGTTTTCCAAGGAATTTGCGTTGCACAGATGTCAAGGCTGGACAGTGACAGAAGTTCGATGTTCGATTGACTCCTTCACTTCTTCGTTCCAACAATTACAGCAAAAATGATTACAGTGATATCCTATTCTTTGCCCGCGAAGTCTCAACAAAAAATAGCTCTCTAATATGCCTGTTGTTGTGTCAATGGAGAATCGGTCTAGAAAGATAAAATGCCTTGATTTTCATGTTGAATGTGATTTCGGTCAGCCATCTTGAATGTACTTCCCTGGCATAGGCCTGTTTAAGCATATACTTTGCCGTGGACAGAGCTAACCAGGCATCGTGTGCAAGTTTTATCGTGGGTAGAGGGGTTTCTTCCTTCGTTAGTTCATCCGCCAGGCAATTGCCTTGGATGTCACTGTGTCCAGGTACTTAAAACATGGCAGTATTAAACTTAGTTGAGAGTTACCAAACTCCACAGGTCTCTCATGACTCCCATACTATTATATAGCGCAGAAGCCTGAGCGACGTCGATATCCGATCCGATCGCTCTTGGAAGTCTTCGCGAGAAAAATTGTGCGAACGATTTATGGTTTTGCAAAAGAGAGGATGAAGGAAAATTAGAATTTAATTGCTTTTCCTTTCCTTTCCGTTACAATCGATGCGTATTCACACACTGAATTCCTTTTCATAGGAAAACTCTACGATTAGAAATCTGTTCATCTATTGCAATGAATTTTTTTTTTGTTTATTTTCAAATGTTACAACAAACATCAAAACAAATTCTTCAGATTGAATTTTTAGTAAAATAAACAATTTCACTCTAACGAGATTTCAGTTTGCAATTTTAACCATTTTTTTACTTTTTTTAATATTTTTTTTTTCTTTTTTGTCGACTTGGTATTCCATTCCAATTAATTTCGCATTTTATGCACCAAAATTATGCCGCAAATTGCTGGTGGATTACAACTTATAGCCAAAAATGCCGTCACCAAAAGACTCTCATTCCGATCGTTGAAGGACATACGAAGATTTCGAATAACGAGTAGTGTAATCAGTTCAAGGGGCAGAGAATCGGTTCGACCTCATCCAGTTGTGAGCTTTAAGCGGCGAGTGAAATTGTTTGCGGTGAAATTGGCAATTAGAAAAGCGATAAGTAAATTAGTGTTCATGGAGGATGTGGAAAGAGGCAAATTGGGCACTTTCACTTATACGGATTGTCCGGAGAAAATATTCAGTTGGATGTACGAGGATTGGTTGGATACGCTGGCGTATAGAATAATATGGCTGAATATGATTAATCGCCAAATGCCGCTCAAGGAGTTTACGTGTTGGATGAAATTAAAGAATTTGACATCGCTACGGAATTGTCTGCTTGATCTGAGCAATGTCTACTTATATCAGAAGGGTTGGTCGACGACAATGGAGGCAATGGAGTAGGAATTTATTTTAATTTTTTTTTCCTCTTGAGATTTTAGAATAAATCAATATAAATTCTATTAATCTCAGATCTGTTATTAAATTCCACAACTTGGAGAATAATATCAAAGTGGACATAAACAAGCGTACGCTGATGAATAATAAAGTGAAAACGGAATTCAATGCTTTATTGTTCCTGATGAGAACGCTCGGCTCATTGACTAAGAAGCCCGAGGATTTGTTTCGTAAGTGAAATTGTTTATTTTAAAATAAAGAAAAATATATAAAAATCTTATTCCTTTTAAGTGACTGCCACAATTGAAAATAAGCATGTGCTGGACGCCGCTAAAGTAAGAGAGGAAATGGCGGAACTGCATATTCGGTTTATAGAGAAGAGGCTGGAGAAAGAGATACAGCGCATTCAGAAACGCTTTAAAGAGGAACAATTCGCTACGACTTGCACAACCGATACCTATTTCAATCAAATAGCCGTAATTTATTTCAAACGCTTATTTATTTTCTTTATAATTTTGGTTTTTATTAATAATTTGTATCTAATTTTTAATCTTTCTTTATTCTTTCAAATGTTTAATTTTCACAAATTCTCTGAACCTACGCATTTCAGAACCTTCGCGAACGTATTGCAAAGTTAACGCAACGTTATGATGCCAAATACGCTCAACTAGAAGGCAACGCGACATATTTGAAGACAAATATCGACAAGATAAACGCAAATCGCGCTTACTTGCAGGAACAGTTAGATTGGTATAAGCAGGCTCTCAGCTCAAGTGATCCACCTTCCCGCCCAACTGAAAGCCCACGTCTATCAATTCTTATGAAAAACTTACCGTTAATTCAAAAATCACGTCGCGGTATATCACCGTGGATAAAATATCAGAAGAGCGATTCGGTCACCGATACTAGTGCAGCGGCGCTCAAGAGGAAATCGCCACGCTCCAGAACAAGGCGAAAGAAGGACTCTCAGTTATCAATTCAAGAAAAAGAAGAAGTTTGAAAAATTGTAGGGATAAAATTAAACAAAATTAAAAATATCAAAATACAAAGAAAAAATTTAAAAACATAAAATTAAAGATAAAATTAAAATTAAAATTAAAATTAAAATTAAAATTAAAATTAAAATTAAAATTAAAATTAAAATTAAAATTAAAATTAAAATTAAAATTAAAATGCTTAAAGATATCTTAATTAAGCTAAATTTCTGCACACATATTCAAATTATAAGAGGATTTTTATAATTTTAGGTAAATGTTTTAATAAATCTTGGAAGTTTAAGAACTCAAGAGAAAAGCTTTCATTACGCGAGTATTCAAAATAATATTCAGTGGCAACTTTGTCTTAGCTAATATCAAAAGCTCCATTTAACGAAAGCTTGCAAAGAGAAAGCTTCTATTTCCCAGTCCCAAAGTGCAGATAAATTTTGTGGCCACTACAACGTATTTGTGTTTACCTACATTTATTTAAGTAGAGAAGTTAATTTGTTTTGAAATGAGACCGAAAGAGGTCATATGCCTTAGACTCTCTGTAAGAATAATATTTCAAAGGTAATTAAATTGCTGCCGCAATATTAGGGATGGTATGCCGAAAGTCTGCAGATTTTATTTAGGAGATGCTGCAGGAATTGTAAAATAATGAAATGGATAGACGATTTTATACCCTCGAGATATTAATGGGATGCTCTTTTCGTTTGGATTAAGCAAAAGGAAGCAACAAAAGCAAAATACGTAATCATATTTCAAAATTCAAATAAGCAGCTGGGGAGGATTTTAAGAGAATTCATTATAAAACAATAAATTTATCCAAATCTTAACATCGTTGCGAACTCAGGTTTATTTGAAACAAATTAAACATTCTGGAAAATCAAGTTTATTCTTAAAACAAAAATGGTAGATTTCTAATTAATTATGCCTGAATGGCTGCTTTTCTGTATTTCTATCTGCCTGAGCCTCTTGTAATATGAAGCTGTACTGAAAATTTTCTTACTGACTTCCATGATAACATTTATTGGCAAGTGCGATTCGCACACTGTTATTTGAATTTCTTGAAAGCTTTCTATCCTAGTTGCCGTTTATCCCGACTTAAAGTTAGTCGGTACTTCGCTATGCTCTTTTTTCCAACAGACCCGATTATTTTTCATTTGAGGAAAGTGTTGTAGCGACCAATGATACCGACTTCAACAGTACTTGCGAAGAGCTTTAGAGTTTGGTAGCAAAGAGTGACGATGTAGTACTGCTTTCATTGCAAGGTTGAAGAGGTAGCACGCTGAGAGAGTCATCTTATCCAAAATCTCGAATGGTACAGAAAGATTTGAGGAGATTCGGTACTACCATAGCCGAGCAGATATTAGAAATTATTGAATGAAGGTTTGTATCTAACAAAAAGAGAGGTTACAAACTGTTTTTCTTTGGATCTTTTTGTGGATTGCTGTAAAGAGGGCTATGGTGGCCTTACCAGGTCTAAGGCCACGCTGATAATGTCTAAACAGGGTTTTGATTGTGGTGGTGCATATAATTGCTTAACTGCGTAGTGGACCTCGTCATTGCAGTATAATTTCTAACCTCCAAAATTCAATTCGTTGTGCTATGAACAAAATTACTACAAATACTTACACGTACATATGTTGGTCAAGTAAAAATACATCCATGATTTTTGCATTAAGTTGGAGGCTTTATTTATTATAGTCCGACTTTGAATTATTTTACACAGATATAAACCTTTTTCAACGAGAAACCGCGCGATTTCTATGAATCAGGCATCCGTAAATTGGTTGAACGTTGGGAGTGGATTGCCGAACATGATGATGAATTGATTAATAAAAAAAATAAATAATAAGAAAAAAAATTTCAATTTTAGTTTGCACTTGAAATCGGGCACGAACTTATGCACTCATCCAATAATAGCTTCTCAGAAAAGTTTTCAATATTTTAAAATAGTTCAAATTGTTTCTGTTGCACTTGATACTAACCGACAACTCCACCCCTTTTGAATTTAGTTCTTCCTTATTTGTTTTCACTTCAATTTCCCAGCAACCAAACGAACCACTCGTTTCTCATGTAGCGCTTACGCGCTCACGCTCAGCTCAACGTCAATTGGAATATGAAAACAAACTTTCCAATGAGTTGAGCAATAAACAAAAATACTGAACCGCACACACACGCATGCATAGGCACACCACTACATACTACCACTTTTCCAACGTGTTACCACAATTTGAAAAATGCCAATGCTTCGTTGCTCCTTCCCATGGCGACGATCGTGGCGGTTTTAAGTTTAGTTCATTTTAGCTTTTCGTTGTGTTCGCATGTGTTTTTCGGTGCTTGCGGTCTTTTTTTTCCAATCCCCCGAACGGTTTACCTGTTTACTTAGCACTGTAAGACCGACCGCGGCCGCGTGAGAAAACAATAAAACGAATTTTGTATTTTAATTAATTGATTTTATGATTTTTAAAACTTGACGCCATTTAACACATTCGCAGTGAGTTTGAATATGTGTGTGTGTGTGTGTTGAATTTGTGATTTTAGTTTATTGCAAGATCGCTTGCGAATCAGAACGTGAGAGAATTGTTTTTGTTTGTTCGGACTGATGGTTGTCGCTTGCCGCTTGCCGCTTGCCGCTTGATTAACATACGGCTGCGTTCGTCGTTAGCAGAAGACAAAGTTGTTGCTGTACGTGTATGAAACAACATAAAGTTTCTTGTTCTTTACAGTGTTATTTGTGTTGTTGTTATTGCTTATGTGTGCTTTTGTATATGTGTGTGTGTGTGCGCTTAGTTGGAGCTCTCTTATGTGTTCATTTAAACAATTTCTGTAATGAAATGAAAAAAAAAAAATTAAAAAAATTTATACAATTATACTTTAAACAGTGGAACAAAAAACGGCAAAATAAAGCATTAACTGTGCACATGAGGAAAACAATAACAAGAAATATGTACCATAAAGTTTAAAGCAAATAGAATTTCGTTTTTATTTGGCACTTTTTCGCTCTGTGTTTATCGGGGATTTGTGGGGATTTTATTTTCTTTTTGTTGCCTTTTGGTCGCCTTTGTTGTTTTTGGCATTGTTGTTGTTGTTTTGATCGATGCTATTTTTGCACGTACATTGACACTTTCGCATTGCCATCAACGTTTTTTTTTGTTTCCAAGCACATTTCACACATACGTATTTATGTGTAAATATGTACATATATATATATAATTTTATGTATTTATGTGCAAAACACTATTATTTTGTTTATCTTTTATGTTTGCTTTGTATTTATCATTTGGCACACAAAAAAAAAATACTGCCTCCAACGCATTACAACAAAAATTAAAAAACGAAAATCGGAGTTTACAAGAAACAAGTTGAAATTACAAAAACAAAAAAATCCATTAAAATACCACAACGCTGCCGACAGTAAAATTTATGACCCCTTTCGGCTGCTGCAGCAGTCGATGTTTACATTTATGGACTTTTTGCTTATTAATGGGTGGTAAATAAAATAAAAAAAATTGAATTTGCTATTAAGAAAAAAATTAAAAATGGTATTTAAACTTTTTTATTTTCAAAATTAATTAAAAAAATAAAAACAACATACAAACATAAATGAATAAAATTTTAAATCTTAATAGTTTTTTTTATAAAAAACAACTTATATAAAAAAAATATTTAGAGCAATAAATAATTTAAATAAATAAATAAAAATTCATATTCTAAATTCATTTTTAAACTTAGTGCGTAAAAATATTTTTTTTGAAACTGGAAAAATCCAAAAAAATAAAATTGTTTTGAAATGTTTGTGCTAAGAAAATATAAACAAAAAATATTGAATTTACTTTAATGAAAAATTATAGTTCCTAAATGATATATTATATTAAATAAAAATATTTATTACTAGCAAACAAATTACAAAGTAAAGTTAAATACAAGAAAAATTTTAAATGTTTTCTGAATCAACAAAAAAATAAATAAGCGCAATTAAAAATTAAATAATTAGTGTGAAAGATAATCATTATTATTAAAAAATTGAGCAAATGCTGAAATAGTATTTAAATATTTTTACTAAAAAAAAGTAATCAACTGCTTATTATTAATTAAAAAATATAAACTAAAGAAATTAAAAAGACGTTCTTATATATTTTTTTAGTAAGAAACTAAATTTGTAAATTAAATGGAGCAGAAAATACAAATGTTTATAATGTCAAAAGTTAGAAAATTGCTAAAAATAAAATATATGTAAATAATAATAATAATATATATATATATATCGAAGGCTTTGTCCTGAATTACCGAAGGATCAGACCACACCACAGCCTAAGCCGCTGATCGTAGAGACTTGCTACTTGGAAGGTGCGTTACGCATATAACGTTTAAATATATATAGCTGAAGCGATTTTCGATCCGAGCTCCTCCTCCAATTTGTGGTGTTGAAATGGAGTTTATACTAAGACGCCTCCCAAAGGCTGATGGTTTATTTCCTATAAGGGGACTATACATCTTGTCAGAAATACACTCGAAGACGTGTTCCGAAAGGCGACCGCGATTAGAAAATTTAGCTTAATTTTTTATTTAAATTAATTTTCTATAACTTTTGGATGTTGGTCGCACGGGAATTTGAACCCGAGCCTTTCATATGTCAGTACGCAATGCTAACCACTCGGCTACCGCGGCCACCAAAGCATTCCTATTTACTTACTTACTTACTTAACTGGCGTAGACACCGCTTATGCGCTATTCGTTTCTTCTTTTTGCTGTTTAGCGCCAATTGGAAGTACCAAGTACAGCCAGTCCTTCTCTACCTGGTCTTTCCAATGCAGTGGAAGCTTAAGTAGCCGCTGCTTCTTGATTCGCTGAAATAAATCAATGTCGCCGTATAACTCGTAAAGCTCATCGTACTATCGTCTGCGATATTCGCCCCGCAAAGGACTATAAATCTTACGCAAAACTTTTCCCTCGAAAACTCCTAACGTTGGCTGATCAGCTGTTGTCATCTTTCAAGCTTCCACGCTATATAGCAGGACGGGAATGATTATGGACTTATAGAGTTTGGTTTTCGTTCGTCGGGAGAGGACTTTATTTTTCAATTGTCTACTCAGTCCAAAGTAGCACCCTTTGGCAAGGTTGATGCTGCTTTGAATTTCAAGACTGACATTGTTGTTGGTGTTAATACTGTTTCCTAAATAGACGAAATTATGACTGCCCTCGCTCACTACCAGACCCATTTGCTTCGCTTTATCGAGTCTTGTGAAAACAGAACTAGCGGCGCGGTTGTTGAGGCCAATAATGTCAATATCATCGGCGTACGTCAGTAGTTGTAGACTCTTATAGAAGATTATACCTTCTCTATTCAGCTCTGCAGTTTTTATTATTCTCTCCAGCATCAAATTGAAGAAATTACACGACAAAGAGTCACCATGTCTGAAACCTCGTTTGGCATCAAACGGCATGAAGAGGTCGCTTCTGGTGTTGTCTAGCGTCTAGCGTTACACAGCCGTTTAAGTTTTGGGGAGCCTTCTTATTATACTAAACAAAAACCCCATATAAAGCGAATTCTAAGTAAATCGAAAGATAAATAAGATTTTTTCAATTCCTATTCTTATAAACCTTCCCGAGAACCTTAAAAACAATCTGACGAAATTTCCAGTCAATCGGTTGGTAACTCTTTGAGAACACCGGATCTTTACAAACGGGCATTAAGTTTTTATACATATACTTGTATTTATATAAGGTGTACACACGTATTTAATTCCTCTTCACTTTCGCGTGAGTGAATCAGTTGTGCGCATGCGCGCACATTGGTAATTTTATAGCCGCAAAAACACATTCGTACATACTCATATGTACATATAATAAACTTTGCATGTATGGTATTTGAGCTCTTCATATTTACCATGTATCTTGTGACAATCATAGCAAATTCTCTGCATGTATATAATTAAGCCAACAAACAAGTCAATAAAAAGAGCGGCAAAAATTTAATTACAGCATAATGAAAATGAAAAAGTGTAACAAGGTAAACAAAGTGACTATAAAAAGCAATTGTAGTTTAAAAAATAAAAAAAAAAAAAAAAAAAAAAAATAAAAATAAATAAAAAAAATAAAGTAATACAAAAAGCTAGAAAATAATAGAAAAAATAGTCAATCAACACAAACACAATGTCCGTAAACCTACTAATTTGCCACAAAAGAGTAAACGCGGAGTGTATATATGTATTTGTAATTTGATATGTTTATTGCATTTGCAATGCCAACAATATGCTGCGGAGAATAATGTCAACTTTAATATCTGCATAAACGAAGACATACACACAAGCAATTACATACAAACTTAACAGTTGGTCACAATTTATTGAATTTACCAAGTTCACTTAAATAAATAAATGAGACATCTGTTGGTTCTGCAGCAAATACCATTTTATGCTTAGGAATGTAATTTTTGTACACATCTACATATGTATGTATGTATATATGAAAATCATCCACCAATTTTATGATTATACTGCTGTTAAACAACTGTGCTTTTTACTCTCACTCAATTCCTGCCTGATCGCAGCTTTAGATCTAAACCGTCAAGCTTTCCCTAATTTTTCTCACTTCTTTTTTTCGTATCCGACCAAATGGTTCAAATTGTTCTTTTTTTGTACAATCCTGAGCTCTTGGGCAATAGAAACAGTGCTTACATGATGGTCGGACTCGAAAATGTCCATGATTTGTTCGACATTTTCAAAAATTTCTTTGACACAGGCTTAAACAAAACTGAAACAACCAATCACAAAATTGTCAGAGAAGTTTTTTTAGTACGAAATGTCATCTTTCTAACGCCATCTAGCGTAACCCGATTGGATTTATACAACGCGAGATACAGAGAAATAACGTCATCTCTTGGAAAAATAATGGAATTATTTTTATTACACCATATGTAGGTGGTAACATGAACTTAATCCTTTTTGTTTATAATTTTCAGGAGATACTGTTGCTCATAAAACCAACCTCAAGTGAGAAAACTTTTCTGCCGTCCCTTCACATAAAGTTGTATATCATAGAAAGCTTTGTGAAAGCTAAGGACAGGTGTGGTGAAAGTTTTCAATATCTGCCAAATAAGGAAGAAAAAGTAAGGGTGAAACCAACTATTAAATAATCTGCAGAAATTTACATTTAACGTAAAGGGGCTTATCGGGATTTCAAAAGTAATACTAAAACTCTGTTTAGTGGGAGAAAGGCGCGTTTGTAAGTTTGAGCTAGTACTTTTCTGGCGAATATTTTGAACTCACTGTAACCATCAAAATCATTAAATCAAATCAAGCTTTCACGATCAACAGCCAACTCATATGCTCTATACAAGAAGATATGTTTATCCGTGGATATATATGAACCTCCCAATAAAGCCCTCAAAGCGTTTGACGAGTCACTATCAATGTGTGTGGACGGACGTTGTCCTGATGAAACACCCATTCCCCTAATATTGACCAAACTGGGCACTTCTAAGGGATTGCTTCA